CCCCCCCCTTTCTCTATCCCCTTAGCATTCTTCAGAGTTGGTGTGCTTGGTTGGCCTTAGGGGTCCTGCCTTCTTCCTACCTAATCTCCTCTCCTCCTCCTTAAACTGCTCTCTGACCCCTGGCCCTGCTCTCTCCTCCCCTTTCTCCTGCCCCTTTCTTTCCCCTCCTCTGACCCCACTCCTCTGTCCTTGTCAGAGGGACTCCTGAAAGTGACAAGCACCACAGCAACTGTCTGTGTGAGTTGGGAGGTGGGGGGTGGGCAGAGATTAAGACCATTGAGATTGTGGCTGGTGTCCTGGGGAGGAAGAGGGAACAGTTACCTCAAGCAGGGAGGACGCCATCCTGAGGCTGGGGACCGGGTCCCAAGGAGCCAGGCAGATGGAGAGAGCCGAGCCGGAGAAAGAAGGAGAGGGAGAGGGAGGGAGAATGGGAGAATGGGAGAGAAGAGATCTAAAGTTAGAAGGGACTGGGGGGGTGGGAGTGGGGGGGCTGCTCTCTGTCTGTAGGGATCCACCCTCTAATTACAGCTTTCCCAGAGGAGAAGGCTCCAGATCCAATGAGCAGGGCGAGAGAGGGAGGCAGAGGGTCCAAATTTCCTGCTCCATTTGCTGAGCTCCCCAAAGAAGGGATCTGGGCGGGAGAGGAGAAACAGGGCTCCCAGGGAAGGAGTGAAAGCTGGAGGGGGATAAGGACATGGGCAAGTTGTCAGGGCGTCCTGGGGGGCACTGAAGGAAGGGTTGAAAGGTGGATGGGCCCAGGTGTCCCACATCCTGCCCCCAGCAGTCCCATGGGCATCTGTGGGAACCCCTCCCAGCTCTCCCCGGTGTCAGATACCTGGGGGATCTGGGGCTGGGTGTCCTGGGTCTCTCCTCTCTGGAGGTCTGGCAGTGGGGGTGCAGGCAGGAGGTGGCCTGAGGGTCCTGGGAGGGCTCGGCTCCTCTCCCAGGCCAGCTCCACTCCTGTTCCCACTTGGGCTCCGATCCTACAATCCTACTGACTCCAGAGTCCTGGCTGCTGCTCGGCTGCTGCTGCTGCTGCTGCTTCTGCTCCTGCTGCTGCTGAGGCTGCCGCTGCCGCTGCTGCCGCTGAGGGAAGGAACAGGAGGGAAAAGGAACAAACCCCAAACCACTAATTAGAGATCCAGGGGGGGGATGGGGGATTGGGGACGACACTCACACAGAGAGACTGGAACACACAGCCATACACACTCATGGACAAACACAGGATGATACATGCACACGTACACAAAGTGCTACCCACACGGACACAGCCACTGTCATGAATGAACACAGACAAATTCACACACAATGAGCTCAGTGACATGGCTGGAGGCACACGCACCACATACACACCCGAGTTGACCACAGAGACGCTTGTTTCCCCAGTCACCCACCTCGAGATCAGGGGAGCAGCGTGTATGTGCATGTGTGTGTGCGTACATGTGTGTTATGAAAGACAGAAGTGAGAACATGCTCTGGGGTGAAGACTTCTGCTGCCCAGGCTTTTAGGGTCACTGAGGTAAGTTCCAGAGTAAAGCCTGGAGGAAGGGATGGAGAGTAGGGGAGGGCTTAGCACAGACGTGGGGGTTCCCCAGTCTTCCTCCCATTCTAGGAAGTGGCACCTAGGCCTGCCTCATTCAATGGGGCAGAACCTGGATCTTCTGATCCTGGGAAAATTTAAGGCAGGAAGGAGTGAGGATGGGAGTGGAAGGTCATTGGGTTAACTCATCCACGCTCAAACCTAGCCCCTTTAGATAGTGTCCCCCAAAAGGTATGCCCTAAGCTCCATTATTCCTTGCTAGTTACCCTCCCCAGACCCTTCCTGACCACACATCAAGTCATCCTTTGACGGGTGGTTCTCATGAGTGACATGATTTCCTGGGAGGGAGCTCCTGGTTACCTTTCTCATTGCCATGCATCAGTTCCCTCCTCCGCAGGAAGAACTGAAGTTGAGTTTAGGCAGGACTTCTTATCAAAATGGGAAAGAAGAGAAGGACAATCAACCAGGTTGGGAGAGGGAAACCAGAAAGGCTATTAACTGAAACCTGGGTCCTGAGGTAAGCTCATGGCAGAGAGAGGACAGGGCAGCCAAGTGGTAGAACCAGCATCTCTCCCATGGAGGGGCCCAGCCAGCTGGGGTTGTTTTACAAGTTATTCCCCAACACACCCCTCTCCCCCTCCCAGCCCTGCCCATCCTAGGAATGGAGCTCTGTCCTTCCCTTCCCACTCCCCCAGCTCCCCCACACAGTACCCTCACTTTCTCTTCCTGATTCCCCACTTTCTTGCTCCTTTTGCTCTCCTGGCTCTCCAAGGGAAAGGTGGGGAGGGAGAAGGAGTAGATGGAAGTCCAGGAGACAGAACGCAGAATCAGAGTTCAGGGTAGGGCCCAGGAATTCTGGATTCCAGTCCACTGACTTGATTTCCCCCAAGGAACCCTGTGGGCCCAGGGTTCCTGGGGGAAAGGTTTAGGGAACCAGGGTGGCTGGCAGACAAAGAAAAAGAAGCAAAAAAAGAAACAGAAAGGCCAGAAAGACTGAGACACACAGAGCAAAAGAAACAATGCGAGAGAATCAGGAGAGATGCTATGGAATATAACAGAGAGGAAGAAGAAAGCAAAAGACCACATATGTGGCTTAAAAACACAGAGCGCAGAAAAATCTAAAAAAGAAAAGAAACTGGCCCAGAGGAACAAAGGTGAGGAGACAATGGCTTCAAGAGAGGGCAAGACAAGGAAAATAGCCGGAGGCCTGGTCAGGCCCGGAGAAGGCTGAGGGTTAAAGCAGCCAGGCAGGTGGGGGGGCGGGGATGGAGTATAAATAGCGCATAATTGTGTCCGATGATTACACGGGCCACCCCACCCAGTCTGCCCAAGAGGAAGTGCCCGTGGTGGGGTGTCCCGTGACCTCGCAGTCTCCCCCTGGTGGGGGGGCTCTGAGCCTGAGGTGCTGGATGGACTTCTGCACCCCTTACATACACATTCAGAAGTTGGGAAGATGGGGAAGGTTTGGAGAAATTACTGCACCAGCAGCAGAAAAGCCCAAGGCCAGTTAGGTGACGCAGGCAACTGAGGCAAAGGAGAAAAGTCTAGACTCCGGAGAAGAAATGGCAGGTGGGAGAGGCATTGGGCTCCAACTAGATTGAGGAGAAAAGGGAGAGACTGAAGGGCAAAAAGAGGAGTAAGGAAAGGACAAAAGGAGGTGCAGGGTTGGGGAGAGGAGTTGGGGAGCAGGGAGGGTCAATCTTCTCCACCTCCTTTTGGGGGACCTTAAGCCCGAATCCTATCTGGGAAGGGGCAGCACTGCCAGGGAAGGAAAAGGAAGGAAGGAGCAGGGTCCCCAGGAAGATGTGAACCAGGTCCTCTGACATGTCGATGCCAATAGAACAGAGTCCCCTCCCAAAGGTTTGTGCCAAAGCCAGGCAGAGGGGCTGCCTGAAGCCCCCAGCTGCCTTCCTCAGGACCCTGGGTTCCAACTTCCACACCCTTTTAAAAGACAGTCCAGCCCAGCTGAAGCCCAGGTATTCCTGGGTACAGATTCCCAACCCCCTCTCAGTGCCCTCAAGGGCTGGGGACAGCAACTGGGAGCCCTGACCAAGGACCTGCCTCCACCCTCGCAGGCCTCCCTCAGCCCAGCCTCCCAGGGGGTGGGGCAGCCCAGGCAGAGGCGCCATGTGGCAGGGGCGGGTAGAGGCTGCGGCTCTGGTCCTTCCAGTATAAACCCCCTAGGCATCTGGTTTCTATCCACCACCCCCCACCACCCTGGGGGCCCCTCAGCCTCCGCCCATGGCCACCCAGACACTGAGCTCCCAGAGATGGACACCCCTGAAGGAAGGGGTGGGACGGTGTCTTTCTGATCTTTCAACCCCAGGACTGGGCTGAACCACAGGGACCACTCCCTTCCCTCCCTCCCCTAGAAGAATGAGGGTGGGATTTCTAGGTTAGAGGAGGTTGAATCTGGAACCTGCCTCAGTTCTCTTTAGATCTTTTTTGAATCAACAGTGGGGATGGAGAGAGTTAAAACTGGAGTGAGTGAGTGGGAGACTTCTAGCCCCCTATTTCTCAAGGAAACTGCCTCCTTCCACACTACTGCCCACCTCCTAGGCTGGGCTCCTCTGAGAACCCTAATCCAAAGGGACTCATAGCCTTTCCTTTGTTGTTATTATAGAAAGTTTGGCTCCCCTAGAGCAAATCCCCAGTGAACAGAGCCTCTGAAATAAAGATCGACAGTTACTCTAATATAGACCTAATGAGTGGCACACTTCCGGATACACACTTGCACACATGCTGAGTGATGAACATATACATGCTCTGTAGGTGCCCACATCGACACGCACACGCACACACAAACGACAGGTGATGCTTACACCAAGATACTTACCTTAACCCCCAATCACAATAATGCACACACCAGTGTACATACTTGCAGAGAGACTCAGAGCTACCTAGAATATCCACGCCCCCCCCCCACACACAAGGATTCATGCAGACTCACATCAGACAACAGTTACAATATGGCAAATGTCCCAATACACGTACATATCGGTCTATCATCACAGTTTTACAGCTCCAGAGACCCCTGAGCTCTCCTAGAGGGGCTTTAGGAAGCCCTCTTCCTACAAGAGCCTGTGAGTAAGGGTGATGAGGGCCCTGCCAGTCCTACAATTGCATCCCGCAACTCCTACTAGTGTGGGAACCTCCAGTGTACCTTCAGGGGACTCACTGATTTTTTTACCCTCCATATCCACCAGAGTTCAGAGACCCAGATGGCCCCAGCAAACTCCCTGGCCCTGGGGAACCCCGGCATTCCT